TTGCCAGAAGTCACCAAAGAAATTTGAAAAAAGCAGTAGAAGAGAGGAATCATTTTTTAACGTGACAATGCGTGCTCTCACACATCAGCTCAAATAAAGGAATTTTTGAGCGGCCAAAACATCGAATTGATTGGTCATCCGCAGTACAGTCCTGATTTGGCACCTAAGAAAATTTTTTTTTTATTTCTGCACATCGAAAATAAATTACGTGGCCAGCGATTTGCGCCACCAAAGAAGCAGTATATGATTTGCATGGTGCATCTACCACTATTGATAAAATTTCTATCTAAGAAATTTTCTCGGTAAATGCTTCCTAAATAATAACTCCAAAACTCAATCGGAGTGGAAAAAGTGCTCCGATAATTCGTTCAAACGCATGCAAAAGTGCATTGATCTTCATGGAGAATATTTTGACAAACAATAAAACCAGTTTTGATCATAAGCATTTTTTTTTTTCCATTATTAGGGCCAGAAATATAAATAGCAACCTTCGTACATTAATTTTTTAATCAAGTGTTTTTCGTTGCCATTCAAGTATAACACTTTCTTTATAATAACATAATATTGTAGTAGTCTTGGTTACTTAAATTTCTTGCTATTGGAATATCATATAATGCTTTTGCTTTTAAGTGAGCAGAGAGGCTTGATTTTTTTTATGCTCCTAAATAATCCTCTCACCCCAATGCCGGGTCCTCAGCCGACTTCAGCTTGGCCATTACTAAGGTTAGAAGTGGTGGTCGGCCACTTTATTATGGAGACATCTAATAGGTAGATCACTTTGCCTCCTATGAAGTTACAACAATGCCTTCTTCAGGATTCGAACCTGGCCTTTTGGTATTGCAATCGACTCCCCTAAGCACTATACTGTCTGGGCAGCAAAATCGTTCCTAAATAATAATGTAGTAGAATTTTCAGTCCATAATCTTACTCATAGACTAGGAGGTTCATCGCAAACTTTCTGTAAAATAGATCGATAACATGTTAATATAATGGAGACATTTTCCATTTTGTCGCTTGTTGCCTTCAAATCCTTCTAAACTTTCCAAGCTGCAATGTCTAAAATGCTAAAGAAAAATTATCCCTACTAATTCTGTAATAGCAAAAAGCCAGAAATATTTTTGGAAAAAAAAAAAAAAAAGAGAGAGAGTGTAAAATTAATTTTATAGTGAAAACTGATGCATATTCTGGGAATTCTGAATATTCAGATACAATTACATGGAAAAAACTCTTACTATGAAAAAATTAAAAAGAAGACATTTTTAATTAATTACATAGCTAATTTTGGTTTTGCTAAGAAATGTTTCATAAACTGTGATAGCTTTGTACCTTCTTTATTTTTCAGATTCAAAATATTGTATAATAAGTTGCCAAAACGGAACTTATAATGCGAAAAATAAAGATGTTTTATTTTAATGTTATTTTTAAATATAATTTTAATACATTACAATTATTTTAATGAAATTTATCAATGTTACAACATTAAAAAAAATCATCGAAAAATTCCCAGACCTTTGAATAAAAATTTTCAATAGAAACTGATCTTGATATTGCCATATGGTGATAAGTCACCAAATTTAGAACTGTTTAATAAAAGAAATCGTATCCTCAAACACACAAATTTGTTTAAGAGCTATTCATTAGAAAAAATGAAATAATTTTGAAATGCTTATGTTTCACTTTTTGCTCAGAAATTCGAATATCCCACCATTTATATTAGAAATACGAACAAATTATAGCCCATGAATCCATTTACCCATTCAAAAGATAACCATACTTGTAGGTGAATCACCAAACACCTTCCTCCAAAATGCTAAATGGAAGCCATAAAAACAGGCAGAAATTTCAGATGATTAAAATTAAGGATCTTCTGCCAGTTTGGGCCGAAATTAAGGACATTTACGTACCAAAAATCGATTCCCCAAAAAATAGGAGTTAAGTTTTCTTAAGAACTGTATGAATCCTATAGTTAAAACTACTTTAACAGTAGTAGAACACATAAAGTTGCTGATGAATTTTTACTGTTACAGAATTTCCTAATTTCTGCAAGAGATTTGCTCAGCAACTTCTATTCCAAATTTAAGCCACTGTTTAAAGTTTCATAATTAATAAAAACCCTTGAGCTATATAACCCAGAAACTAAGATTATTCTGGGGAGGATGAACCAAATAGCATTTGGAAAATAAATATTTAAGTGAGATAGCTAATTTATATTTTAGATTGAAACAAACATTCTCCTTGACCAATGTTCTCACCAGTAAAGTGAGGAGGCAGCACTTTGGAGGCACTTATCTCATAAAAGGGAATAAGAAAAAATGAATAATTCAGCAGACAAAAAATACTCTTTCTCTGTGTTTTAACCCGCGAGCACACGTGACGGGTATGTCATACCCATGTGCATTTTTCTTTTTGTATATTTCTCACCTATTCTTTCATAAAAGGACGAAACTTGGTGTAGCTGAGTTCAAGGTCACATACTTAAATGGGGGAAATTCCTGAGGTGACAGGTGCAACGGTTTTTTAGGAACAGCATTGTTCGGGCATGTCATAACCGCGCGTGTACTCGCGTTTCTCAGTGAGTCACTTCGCACTTCTCGTTTTCAAGCTTTTAGTATAGGTTTTTCTTGAGTTGTAAGCATGGCGCCGTATAATCCTAAGGATGAAGAGATGAAAAGATTGAGAAATCTTGAAACAGTTTCTTCTGATGAGGATTCATTTAGTGAAGAGGATAAAGATGTTGATGACGAAGAATATAATAGTAATCATGATTCATTCATAGAGAGTATTGATTCAGATACAGAAACAGAAAATGAAACTTTGGAATATAGCAATGAGTTTTGTGTTGAAAAAAATGGAGTAAAATGGAACAAAAAAAAATTCCGGACTAATGTTAGAATTGGCGCCAAAAATATTATAACTAAACTCCCTGGAAATACGAAAGTATTCTAAAGACGTCTCAACACCTTTAGATTCCTGGTCACTGCTTATCGATGAAGATAGTATGTTAAAACATGTAGTCGACAATACAAATATTTATATTGATTCAGTACGAGGGAAATTTCACTCGTGAACGGGATGCGAAAGCAACAAATGAGTTGGAAATCAAAGCTTTTAATTGGATTGCTGTATTTATATGGAGTTTATAAATCATCCCATGTGAACGTAAGAGAAATTCTTATTTGTGGGCAACAGACGGAACGGGAATGGATATATTTTGGGAAACAATGTCAGTGAACCGATTCCTCTTTCTTTTACGATGCCTCTGTTTTGATGACATTAGAGATCGTCACAGTAGAAGAGATGTTGATAAATTAGCTCTGATCAGAGAATTTTTTGGAAATTTTGTCACAAATTGCCAAAAGGCTTATATTGTAGGAGAGTATGTGGCCATTGATGAGAAGTTGGAATCATTCAGAGGTCGTTGTTCCTTCAAACAATATATTCCCAACAAGCCAGCAAAGTATGGCATAAAAATATTTGCTCTTGTAGACGCAAGGGTATTTTATACCTGGAGTATGGAAATTTATGCTGGTAAACAACCAGATGGGCCATTTCAAGTTGAAAACAGGTGCAAGCGAAGTTGTCAAACGTTTAATAAGGCCCTTATACAACTCTGGTCGAAATTTAACAGTTGATAATTGGTATATGGGATATGAATTATCTCAAGATCTCCCAAAAGAAGAAAAATTACGATAGTAGGTACAATGCGTAAAAATAAGAGACAAATCCCACCTGAGTTTCTGGCAAAGAAAAGAGAAGTATATTCTTCAATTTTCGGTTTTCAGAAAGAAGCAACACTTGTATCTTATGTGCCGAAAAAAAATAAGAGTGTGATCCTGTTGTCCACAATGCATTCCGACGATCAAATCGATGAATCTACTGGGGAATTTAAAAAGCCTGAAATCATTACTTTCTATAACATAACAAAAGGAGCAGTCAATGTTGTAGATGATAAGGCTACAGCAAGCATAGCACGTCGATGGCCTATGGTGATTTTCTTTTCAGTGTTAAACGTGGCTGCCTTTAATGCAAGAATAATTCTACTATCAAAGAAGGAACCACCAACGGCAAAGAATCTCTAAGGAGATTAGAGATTCTTTGCCAACGGAATACCGTACCAGGCGTACTTTTCTCAAAGCCTTAGGGATGCAGTTAATAGAAAGTGTTCAAAATGAACGACGACGAACATCTGTAGTTCCTGATTCTAGACAAACACTGCCCCCCGATGAACATGTTAACACAATGAACCATCCCCGAAAAAAACCTTAAATTATTTACAACAGGTGTACAGAGTGCCCCAAGAAAAAAGATAGAAAGACTAGATTCATTTGCGAAAATTGTAGCAAAAGTATATGTATGGAATATATGACCTCATTTTGTAAACAATGTTCAAAAAATTGTAAGTAAATAATTTTACCTCTCCTTATTCTTTCATATTTTGTCTAAAATGAAGTATTAACTTGGTTTTACATTTTAATTTCTTTTAAAAACCGATTAATTTTATTCGGAAAATTTTTAATAATTTTTTTCCGGGTATGACATACCCGGCACGTGTTCTCGTGTTCGTCAGATCGGTGCGTGTGCTCGCAGGTTAACTACTTTATTGCTCAAGTGAAAAAGTTAAGCAATAACATGCATACACACACAAAACAAAAATTAAAACACATTTTTTGCAGTAACTGAAAAAATTTCATCTAAATAAGATGGCCAAAATATTGTAGATAATAAATTAGCTTGTATTATAACAGATTTAACATAAAGCAAAGACTAAGCAATAAAAATAAGCTGTTATATTTTTTTCTGATAACTTTTCTGCTAGTTTAACAGATTAACAGAAAATACATTTCTTAATAACATTAAATTACAGCAATTATACAAATTATGAAAACTCTTCCTGAGTGTAATGCTTGAATTAAAAAAAAAAAGTGTACCAAAAAAACTATTTGTTTTGATGATTCCATTGTTAAACATTTTAAGTCAATAGTTATAATTCACACAAAAAGTATTAATGCAGCCTTGCACATTTCAAAATTATGCCCATGTTTATTTAAAGCTTTACTGCTGTAATGAAAATTCACATAATAATGATTGCACAGAATGTTTTCATGAGAAACAGAGAGATAAATATATATGAAAATTTAGACCAGTATACTGTACATTTAATTTCTAACATAAACAAAAATGAATGGGCTCATCTGAACTTTTTATGCCTTTATGCTTGCTATTGAAGTGATTCTTAGCTAGAATTTTTCAAGAATAGCCTCAGATTTTTTACAAACAATTGCTCCATAGAAATTATGAAACATCCTTCAAACAGAATGAGTTTCATGATGGGAACTCTCTATTTATACACTCAGACCAAAAAATGTTACGCAATTAATCGACTTTTTAAAATAACATCTAAGCAAATAAAATTTTATTACAAGTAAGTTCTTGGAAAAGTTATTTATTTTTTTAAATGCTTTAATAATCAGTAAAATTTATACAATATAACACAAATGCACTTAGCAGACACAGCAACTATTTTAAAAAATTAAGATATGTAGCATAGAAACAAGAACTTCATTGTTGTGTACATTCACTGAATTTTACAGGTGATAAAGATTTTTGCATACTTTTTTTTTCAATAGAGTCAGCAGAAATGTTTGTGTTTATTGCAGACTTTTGCTTATTTTCTCCATTAGCATGTACAAATAAAATTTCTTTTCTGTCTGGCACAAACTTTTGAACACTTTTTTCTTCAAAATGGTTGACAGCATTATCTTCATCTTGATAGGAATCAAACCCAGTAATTGTATCATTGTTTGAAATGTAGCTGTCCCCTTGTTCTTTGTGTTTTACGTAAAAGTGACGAAGTACAGCTCTATTAGATCTCCGAGGAGGCGATATTTCTTGGACTTTCCCATCCTTTCCTAATCTTAATCTACCAAATATAATATCATTATTTGCAGTCTTTTCCATTGCTTCTTCATTTGCTTTGAGATCTGGCACATCAGTGTTTAATTTATCTTCTGGAACTGAAATAGACAAATAGTCTGAAATTAATTTAAAATTAAAGCAAAAAAAAAAAAAAAAAAAAAAAAAAAAACTTACATAGATTTTACATATACTCTTACCCCTGTATCCATAGTTCAGACAGGCAGGGAGGAATAAACTGCTTAAGTTACACATTTTGAAATGCGATCAAATAAAAACAATCTTTACTATAGTCAAATATTGACTTCACAGCCAGTACTGTCTTCCCATGCAGAATTGTTTGAGCTCATATGCCAAGCTGATGATCATAAATATGATAGTAGGCAATATCTATCAACAGCAGTCAGCAAATATATAATTTGTTGAAAAATTAACTGGTATATACAGTTAAAAATGAAGTCAAAAATGAGATCAAACACTGTAGGCTGGCATGCTGAAACCACGTATAAATGTAAATAAAGGAGCTACAGTTGATAACCATTTGTTTCATCAGCTTAGAGATAAAATAGATAAGTTTGACCAAGTTCATCTTTTCTTGTTGCTTTCAGTAGGGTTGCAGTATTCAGAATCAATGTACAGAAGGTTGAAGAAAAAGTCTCTCTACACCATGGTTTGGTGGTTATTTCAAGTACTTCTTTAATTTCAAAGCTGTTTTTATGCATGGGTTTGGCAATGATTTTATGTTCATATCCTACTCAGTTACTTAATATGAATGTTCAGCAAAATATTTTACCAAAGATGTGCTACTTTTGTTGATGAACTGATTGGCAGAGAGTTTGTAGCTATCCTTTTATGTCCAGCAACTATTTCGAATTTTGGTTTAAACCTTTAGTTCTATTTTAGATGGGACTTCCTTAATTTTATTATTTAGTTTTATTATATTATTATAGTTTTCCTTTGAATGTTTCCTATAATTCAGGCAGATCATGTTCATGTGTTGTATGAATATCTAGATCTGAAAGCACGGTTGTTACTCTCTCCCCTTAGAAGACAGTTTGCAGCTTATAACTATGGCATAATGAAGTTCCATCAGTAGTATTATGCATTAGGTGATTAGAAAAAAGAGATGTATCAGAAAAAAATAATAAGGAAAATACTTACAGATTTCTATTAAAATCATTCAGAAATATTGAACCACTTTTAACACATTAATGCCACACTAATTTCACAAGGCTCGCCCATCTGGCCAATATGAATTTCTCATTATGCATTGAATATTTTGTGAAACATAAATTGCAATACACAAATTTATGAATTTATCAACTCTTATTGCATCATGAACTTAAAAAAAATGCCAGGAAGAGCTAGGGTTACATGACAATTTCATAAAGTGGGCTAGGTAAAAAATTCGAAAACCTAGTTAAGGCAAATAACTGTACCAAAAAAATTTTGACATACTGTAGAGACTGCACTGGTTCACCTTTTATTTGCTTGAAATGTTTCAATACAACACATTGCAAAATGCACGCATAATATTTAAACTTACATGTTATATATACAAATAAAATTATTTTTGTACTATATCCCATTAACCACTTGCGCTACGACTAAACTTCACGGTTGCGGTGCCGTGCGCTACAATATAACAAGCAGTAAAGTGTCTCATTTACACGTCTGCAATCCAGAGCTGTAACTCGAGAAATAAACAATCTCATAGTTAGACGACATGTGCAACACGTTATTTTCATTTTTTTGCGCGGTTTGAGACAAAAGCATCTCGACGTGCGTGGCACGTCTTTTTAGCGCAAGTGGTTAATTTCTTCACACCATTTTAGTAATGATGATAATATTGAAAAATTTAAAACATTGAAAATTTACTTTAATTACGTGTTTCTAGTAATTTGGTTTTGCCAGTCACAGGTGACCTCCCATGGCACTACAAACAAACTTAGTGCTGTTAACCGGCACTAAGTTTTTTCTTACAGACTCAGGGTTCCATACACATTTCTGCACACAGAAATTAAGTACTTTTAAGGACCATTAATAAATAAAATTAAGGACCTGTGAGCAAATGGGAACTGAATAAATTCAATTAAAAATATTATATCTATGCCTTAAACTTCACTTTTTAATACCCTCCTAGAAATAAAAAGAGATTTGTAAGTAGGATGCATTATTATTAAACATAGTTTAATTAACATAATTATTAATGTGTTTGAGAATAAAATAAATATTATCAAATTTATCAAGTATCAATAAATATTTTACACTTATAATAACTAGACATATTTTGACATTTTAGTTACATTTTACTATCAGATTTTTATTTATTTTTAATGTCTCATTTTGTAACATATTTGCTGAGTCTAGAAATTTAATTAATAGCAAGTAGATTTTATGTCAAGCAGCATAGGTTAAAATGAGCATTAAAATATAAATCATCATGATTCATAACAAAAGACTGGCTGTTGTTACCACTCCTGCTTGCCTAGAGAGAGACCTGCTGATCAGAGCAAACCTGAAAGGTCTGATGTAGGCACAGTTAGTAAGTTTTGAAAGTTAGCTGAGCTCTGTCTGACGCAGTTAGTGTCGTAGCTTCGTGTAGTTCAGGGATTGTAACTCAGTTAATATACATTAAGGTTCTATTAAGCCACTAAAGCACTAGATGTATTGAACATAAGCCGTTTTTCATTATTTTAAGTTTCACTATATGCGAAGAATAAGTTTTAGGTGAATTTTTATATTTTTGTGTTTTACCTTGTGACCACTGTAAAGGTTAAAGAAAGGCAATAACTAACTTTAATACGCAAAGATAATTTTTAAGGGTAACTTAGTTATAAGTAATTAAATTATATATTAGATAACCTTAGTCATATGGATTTACATGGACACTATTAAATTAAATTTATTTTTTAATTTGTTAAAAAAACCTATTAATATCACAATCTAATAAAATTTCACAGTTTAAAATACATGCAATTTATGGCATTGAATTTTAAACAATGTTAGGATAATTACACATTAAACATTTATATTTTGTAGCAACAAAATAATTATGTGTCTTTTTAATTTGAAGCCCTGTCCAGACATTTTGGCTAATTTATATCGATTTCCTTTTCCTTAATCATCTTTTCAAACGATTAGAAATTTGTCTCAATACGCAAAACAATGTTTTCATTAGTTTCTGCCTGTTTTATCTCGTAACTGTCAATCTCTCTACATTGTACTACCTATGATGGTTTACTTGATCTGGTAAAAGTTAAATAGTCCACCCACCCCCCAACAAACGTGAAACAAATTATGGCTATGTCTGAAAGTAACTATAAATCAGAGGTTTAAATAAGCTTCTTATTTAAAAAGTACTTAGAACATAAAGGCATGTTCTTATGCTAACAAAATCAATTACAGCTCGTGGTGATGTAATTAAACAAGAACAGTCAAATTCACACTAAAAATATGGACTAGTGGTCAAAGACAAGTGGTTAATTTAATCTGGTTCAATAACTCATATATCGTCATAACTCAAATGTCAGCAGCGGTAATGGAAATTATCAGAGCTGATAGGAACTAATACAGTGATCAAGCGGAGGTCAGAAACACACTCTTTGTCTTACACTCCAAAAAGCTCATGTTAAAAACTGTCTCTGTGATTTGCATTCTGGTGAGGAAATAGAAATGGGAAATTATAGTAAAGGCTGAAATTGTTAGCAACTGGGTAATTTACATAATAATAACTACATATCTCTTAAGAATGATTTTCTTTCTCTTTATATATTTAGTTCATTTCTTATTCATATGCTGGTGAGGCATCATTTTTAGAATTTAGTGACACACCGAGCAGCAAAATCTAGAAATGGCAAAACTTTTAGAATTTAGATCAAGCATTGGAAGCAGAATTTAGAAAGGCACCAGGCAGCAGAATTTAGGATCCACAGAGACTGTATCAGGTGGCAAAATGCCTAGCGCCAGCCCTGTGTATGATGCATTAAGACATATTAGATGAATCTTTTGAATTGCCAGTTTTCAATTTCTTTATTAATAACAAAATTTCTTTCTATAATTTGCCTGTTCATATAAGATTAGAAGCATTTTTGATATTTTCCATGCTTGTGTCTAGTGAAAAGTAGAGAAAAAGAAAACTGATGCATATTCTGAGAATTCTGTGAAATGGGGAAAAACTCTTACCATGAAAAAAATTAAAAAGACATTTCTAATTAATTACATAGCTATTTTGCTTTTGCTAAAAACTGTTTCACAAATTGTGCTTTATAGCATTATACCTTGCTTATTTTTCAGATTCAAAACATTGTATAATATGTGGACAAATGGAACTTTATAATATGACAGTGAAAAATAAAACTGCTTTATTTTAATGTTATTTCTTAAATATAATTCCAATACATTGCTATTATTTTAATGAAATTTATCACTGTTACAATGTTCTAAAAAAGTCAGCAAAAATTTCCCAGAGTTCGGAATTAAAAATGTTCCATAGAAACCAATCTTAAAATCACCAAAATGTTGATAAGTCACCAAATTTAGAACCATTTAATAAAAGAATTCACATCCACAAAAGCGGAAAGTTGTTTGAGAGCTCTTCATTACAAAAAATGAAATAATTTGAAAATTCTTATGTTTCACTTCTTGCTCAGAAACTCGGGTATCCCACCAGTTATATTACAAATAGGAACAAATTATAACCCATGAACCCATTAAAAAAAATAACCATATTTGTCAGTGAATCGTCAAAAATATTGCTGCAAAATGCTAATTCACACTCAAAATGGCAGTCGTAAAAACAGACAGAAATTTCGGATTATTAAAATTAAGGACCTTCTGCCGATTTTGGCCGAAATTAAGGACTTTTAAGGACCAAAAATTGATTCCAAAACGCTTAAGGAATTTTAAGGACTCTTAAGGACAGTATGAACCCTGAAACTTTATGTGAACAGTATTAAAATTCAGCAAATTATTTACTTTATAGCTTGGCCACCTGCAAAATACAAGGATCCCCATTTGGAGCTCAAGGCTTTCTAGTATAAAATTATTTACTGTTTACACTACAAATACCACTTCCATTTTCATTCCAGTTATCTGCTGC